GAATTAGGATTAGCAGGAATAAGTACTCCCCTCTGTCTTGTCATTTCATTTATTGTAGGGTATTATGAGGCACACTCTTTTTTGTATCATCAACAAATCGTAATCTTTATGGTTCAGTGTTAGATAAATAGTTAGGAAATCAAAATGTTACTCGGTTGGGTTTAGACTCTCCAACTCAGGTTAGCTCTAGCCCTCAGCCGAGAGGCTTGTACTGACTCTCTGTGGCCACCCAATGTTATTCTGTATTTGTTAATAAAATTGTAATTAGCTTCTTGCGACTTTGGACTCTTTGCTGAGCGACCCAACGACCAGCACGCTATTTAGAGGGAGTTTCATGAGAAACCTCATTGGTACCTTACATAGGCGAACATAATACTGCTCTCAGATCTACTTCAGATGTTTCTGAATCTGTCCTTCGGACTGCTTTGGTAGAAATAGAGACTGTTTTAAATAGCCAACCTTTGACCCACAATAGTCAACACCTTGAGGATTATACCACAGTAATGCCAAATAATTTTCTTCTTGGAAGGCGACATAGCCCTGTCATGTTCTGGTGCCCATCCCTTTACAGTTGTATGACCCTGTCATGTTCTGGTGCCCACCTCCTTACAGTTTCATAGCTCTGTAACTGTAAAGGGATGGACACCAGAACATGGCAGGGCTATGTAACTGTAAAGGGATGGGCACCAGAACATCACAGCAGTAAGGGATGGGCACCAGAACATGACAGGTGTATGTAACTGTAAAGGGATGGGCACCGGTCATGAAAGGGCTACACAACTGTTAAGGGATGGGCACCAGAACATGACATGGCAATGTCACTGTAAAGGGATGGGCACCAGAACATGACAGGGCTATGTCACTGTAAAGAGATGGGCACCAGAACATGACAGGACTATGTACCTGTAAAGGGATGGGTACCAGAACATGACAGGGCTACACAACTGTAAAGAGATGGGCACCAGAACATGACAGGGCCACACAAGTGTAAAGGGATGGGCACCAGAACATGACAGGGCTACACAACTGTAAAGGGACGGGCACCAGAACATGACAGGGCTACACAAATGTAAAGGGACGGGCACCAGAATATGACGGGGCTACACAACTGTACAGGGATGGGGAACCAGAACATGACAGGGCTATGTACCTGTAAAGAGATGGGCACCAGAACATGACAGGGTTATGTAACTGTAAAGAGATGGGCCACCATGACCTGTAAAGAGATGGGCACCAGAACATGACAGGGTTATGTCACTGTAAAGAGATGGACACCAGAATATGACGGGTGTATGTAACTGTAAAGAGATGGGCACCAGAACATGACCGGGTTATGTCACTGTAAAGAGATGGACACCAGAATATGACGGGGCTCTGCAACAGTAAAGGGATGGGCACTGGAACATGACAGGGTTATGTAACTGTAAAGGGATGGACACCAGAATATGACGGGGCTACACAACTGTACAGGGATGGGAACCAGAACATGACAGGGCTATGCAACTGTAAAGAGATGGACACCAGAATATGACGGGTGTATGTAACTGTAAAGGGATGGGCACCAGAATATGACGGGGTTATGGAACTGTAAAGAGATGGACACCAGAATATGACGGGGTTATGAAACTGTAAAGGGATGGGCACCAGAATATGACCATACACATATAACGGGATGGACACCAGAATATGACGGGTGTATGTAACTGTAAAGGGATGGGCACCAGGGATGGGCACCAGAATATGACGGGGTTATGGAACTGTAAAGAGATGGACACCAGAATATGACGGGGTTATGGAACTGTAAAGGGATGGGCACCAGAATATGACCATACACATATAACGGGATGGATACCAGAACATGACAGGGCTACACAATTATAAAGGGATGGGCACCAGAACATGACAGGGCTACACAACTGTAAAGGGACGGGCACCAGAATATGACGGGGCTACACAACTGTACAGGGATGGGCACCAGAACATGACAGGGCTATACAACTGTAAAGGGATGGGCACCAGAACATGACAGGGCTACACAACTGTAAAGGGACGGGCACCAGAATATGACGGGGCTACACAACTGTACAGGGATGGGCACAAGAACATGACAGGGCTACACAACTGTAAAGGGATAAAAACCAGAACATGACAACAGTATATGTTCATGTTCTGGCGCCCATCCCTTCTCACACACACACACACACACACACACACACACACACACACACACACACACACACACACACACACACACACACACACACACACACACACACACACACACACACACACACACACACACACACACACACACACACACACACACTATCTCACTCCACTCTGTCTCACTATCTCACTATCGCTTTCACTCTCCCTATCTTACCATCACTATTTCTCAGCCTTCCTCTCTCTCCCACTTTCTTAGTATCTGTGGATACTAACGTATAGAAATTTAAGCAGCAATACCCTTTCTAAATTCATAAGAAATATCCGTCTGAAGTCCATAGCTGATGCAGCGTTAAGCAATATCTAATTCCAAGTATCCATGTGACGCACCTTATCACCTCTACCTCCTCTCTCTCTCTCTCTCTCTCTCTCTCTTTCTTTCTCTCTCCCGATCTCTCTCTCTCTCTGACGCACACACAGTCACACACTATAGGCGGAACCAGATATTTCCAAACGGGCGGGGTGTGGGTGTGGGTTGGGGTGTTGGCGTGGTCAGGGGGTTTGAACCCCTTGAACCTCAACTTGGCTACGTCATTGCAAAACATTAACTTCAATGTGGTCTTTAGTCATTTTCAAAAAAACAAAAGGGGGGGGGGGACCCCCTGAACCGTCCCTCTGGATCCGTCACTGGACCCATGACATATTTTATTTCGGGTCCATTAAACTTTCTTCCACATAACACATATTCCCACAAACATACTTCTACACAACACAAACATAGTTCCGCGTTAGTTACACATTCCAAAGCACCGCCCTTCCCGCTCTCGCTTATGCCACACACTTAACCTTTAAAAACATACCCCGCATGTGTGTTTTGCCTGTTAAATGCTTCTCTATTCACTCATAAACATTGTACAAATATCTGGGGGCATTTTCACCAGTCGCTGACAACAAACGTGTTTGTACGTTTTTCAGAACAGGATTCCCACATGGAAATGAATACCTGCGAATATATAAACAGTTTAATTCAACGTTTAATTCAAACTTACGCTTGAATGACTCTCGTGCGGTGACAGCACAATGGAGCATACCCGGTGAGAAACTCGAGTTTAGAATTCACACGGCCGGGGGTGTTATCAGATGCCGTGAGAAGTGATGATTTATAAATACCAGGCAACATAGGGTTTCAGCATGGTTAAACGTGTCTGGAAGTTTGGTTGGTTGGTTGGTTGTTTAACGCCGCGCTCAGCAATATTCCAGCTATATGGCGGTGGTCTATAAATAATCGAGTCTGGATCAGACAATCCAGTGATCAACAGCATGTCCATCGATCTACGCAGTTGGGATACGATGACATATGTGTCAACCAAGTGAGCGAGTCTGACAACCCGATCCCGTGTGTCGCCTCTTATGACAAGCATGGGTTGCTGAAGATTAATTCTAACCCGGATCTTCATGGGTTCTGGAAGTTTGTAAGTTTGTCAGTGAATATGTTTGTTGCTTAACGTGACAGTCAGCAATATTCCCGCTATATGATTAAACGAAGCAGTACGATTAGGCAATATAATGATTGATATCATGAGTATAATCAGCTGGAAACAGATGACATTCAGTCAACCATGTCAGCCAGCGTCAGCAGACCTTCCAATCGACTGATCGACATCGATGTAGACTATAGGTGAGGTGAGGTGAAATTGGGTTTAACGTCGCGCTTGAGAATATTTCGCTCATATGACGACGTGCATGCGCGTGTATGTGTATGTGCAGCTGCTTGTACTAGCCCAGACTGAAGCTGATTTTATAGTGCTAGCCCACTGAGATACCATACCGCAGTGAAGCATGAATACCCCACTCAGACACATTATACTGACTCCGAGCCGACCAGTCCTTGTTGTACCCATTAATGCCGAGCGCCAGGCAGGGACCAACAAGTACCATATTTTAACATATTTTGGTATGACGCGGTCGGGGATCGAACCCACGACCTTCCGCTCTCCGGGCGGACACTCTAACCACTACACCACGGAGGCGGTCTGATTTAGACTATAGGTTCCCTAAAGTATTGTTATCGTAAGATGTGACTGATTGTTTGGTCGGGCTTGTGGAAATGTCATCGTATCCCATTTCGGTGGATCGATGTACGTCATGTAGTTGGAATATTGCTGTGTACGACGTTAAACAACAACAAAAGGAAGGAAAACAATAAAGAACACTCATCGATTTTATTTGGATGTTTTATAATGCAAAATGGAAGCTCTTTACAAGACGTATATGCCTAGCCACAGAACACTTCGTAAGCCGTATTGTCGTTTCAGTGGGATGATAACATAAAATGTGAATGCATTATCTGGCATGCATGGACCCGATGTGCATTATGACTTGAAGTCATCTTTTCTTGACAAAAAGGAAAGGGGTTTTATTTTGTCTTTTTTTTGGATAAAAGATAAATAAATAGAGAGTAAAATATATTGATATTAAATTAAATAAATACTAAATGAATAAATAAAAAGTAAATTACATAATAGATAGATAGATAAATAGATAGATGATTGACTGACTGACTGACTGACTGACTGAATAAATAAATAAATAAATAAATACATAAATACATAAATACATAAATACATAAATAAATAAATAAATAAATAAATAAATAAATAAATAAATAAATAAATAAACACCACACAATATATAAGAAGCAATCTCAAAGTGAGCAGCAATAATTATCCCTTTACGCGTCACAACACCTGAATGCACAAACCCGTCATGTCAATTATCTATCTCCCCGGGGTACTTTTGAGACGGTCCCTGCACGTAATTCTCCCTAAATCGATGTCGGGTATCCATCTACCCAGTGCGTGAGATAATGGCGTCTCCTTGCTCGCTGCACGGTTCATGGCGTCTGGAAATTACGTTCTCGACTTGACAGATGAGATCCTCTTCGCCGTGAATCAGTCGACACTGGAATGTCATTGTCCGAGACAAGCAGCTCTCTTTAGCCGTGCCCCAGGTGTGGACAGCGGCCCCTGTGTCCACTCATAGCTGGACAGGGCAGACAGGTTACCTTGTGGACTACATGTGGATTGTATCGTTGCAGGTAGGTGCTGGTGTTTGGTTAGTGTGTGGTCTGTAGAAGGGCAGCTGTTACGTTACCTGTAGGTTTGTAAAGGTGTTGACATAGTTTTATGGAGGTGGTGCTTACAACGTGACGAGAGGTGTGGCGATGCGGTTATAGTAGGACTGGTGTGTGAGTTGCAAGTCGTCGATGTCAGTTCCTAATCCTGTAAATCATACACGAACACACACGAGCAAACACACACGAACGAACGAACGAACGAACGAAAACACACACACACATTTAACTTCACGGTTTGATATGACACATTCTCAAGCCTGCGCTCTCTCTTTTTCTGTCCCTCTGTGTGTCCGCCTGTCTCCTCCCCTCTCTCTGTGTCTCTCTCTCCTCCTCTGTCTGATTCTCTCCCCCCTCTCTCTGTCTGTCTCTCTTTCTCCCCATCTCTATCAATCTCTCCTCTCCCCTTCTCTCTTCTCTCTCTCTCTCCGCTTTGTCTTTCTGTCTGTCTGTCTGTCTCTCTCTCTCTCTCTCTCTCTCTCTCTCTCACACACACACACACACCTACCTGTAACCTAGCTACATCTCTAACATCGATGGCTGGAAGGCTTTCTCCAGTAGTAACACCTATTTATTTACAAACATTACTTTTGTTAAACGCAAGTCAGCAATATCCCAAGTAGGTTCTGAAGCAAATCAGACCCTCACGGTGGCCAGAACAAGTGCTTGTACCCTCACAACACCTGATGTCAAGTTTCTTATTGTGTTACACACAGGTGTCGCGAAACCGCTTGACCCGTATCCCAGCCAACATGCTGTAGTTGATGTAGATCGCCTCATAAGGTAAGCGTTGTGCCTGAGGGGTGTTTTGTTGTCCGTCCAGATAGAAGTTGTTTGTACTGGTATTTGTTACACTGTTAATGCTACTGCTTTGTACACCGTTGAGATGAGTCATGATGTTTTATATCATGTAAGTGTGATTGTGTGCGATAGAGACTGTGTGGTGTGGGTGGTTGCAAGTCAAAGAGCATATGTCGCCCCAGCTTCGTCTTGTAAACAACAAACACTGCATTGTGAGTGTTTTACAAATCCCTAAACAATTACTCAGCGCGTATGTTTATATCAGCAGAATATACCTTGTACGTTGTTGTAGTAGCTGAATGTGGGAAACTACTGACTGTATGGGACTGATGACTGTAAGGAACAAGCCCGACTGTAGGGACTGTACTGACTGTACGGGACTGTACTGATTGTACGGGACTGTACTGATTGTACGGGACTGTACTGACCGTACGCGACTGATGACTGTACGGGACTGTACTGACTGATGACTGTACTGACTGTACGTTACTGTACTGACTGTACGTTACTGTACTGGACTGTACTGACTATACGCGACTGATGACTGTACTGTACTGTACTGACTGTACGCGACTGATGACTGTACGTGACTGTACTGACTGTACGTGACTGTACTGATTGTACGGGACTGCACTGACTGTACGGGACTGTACTGACTGTACGGGACTGTACTGACTGATGACTGTACTGACTGTACGGGACTGTATTGACTGTACGTTACTTACTGGACTGTACTGACTATACGCGACTGATGACTCTACTGTACTGACTGTACGCGACTGATGACTGTACGTGACTGTACTGACTGTACGTGACTGTACTGATTGTACGGGACTGTACTGACTGTACGGGACTGTACTGACTGTACGGGACTGTACTGATTGTACGGGACTGTACTGACTGTATGCGACTGATGACTGTACGGGACTGTACTGACTATACGTGACTGATGACTGTACGGGACTGTACTGACTGTACGGTACTGTACGTGACTGATGACTGTACGGACTGTACTGTACTGACTGTACTGTACTGACTGTACGGGACTGTACGGGACTGATGACTGTACGTGACTGATGACTGTACGGTTCTGTACTGTGTACTGGACTGTACTGACTATACGCGACTGATGACTGGACGGTACTGTACTGACTGGACTGTACGTGACTGGTGACTGTACTGACTGTACGCGACTGATGACTGTACGGGACTGTACTGACTACGAGACTACTGACTGTACGGGACTGTACTGACTGTGCGCGACTGATGACTGTACGGGACTTACGGGACTGCCGACTGTACGAGACTCCTGACTGTACGCAACTGATGACTGTACGGGACTGTACGAGACTACTGATTGCACGGGACTGTACTGACTGTACGGGACTACTGATTGTACGAGACTACTGACTGTACGAGACTACTGATTGTACGTGACTACTGATTGTACAGGACTGGTGACTGTACGGGGCAGGACTAACTGTACGGGGCTGTACTGACTGTACGGGACTGCCGACTGTACGGGACTGGTGGCTGTACGGGACTGGTGACTGTACGGGGCAGGACTTACTGTACGGGACTGGTGGCTGTACGGGACTGGTGACTGTAAGGGGCAGGACTAAATGTACGGGGCTGTACTGACTGTTCGGGACTGCCGACTGTACGGGACTGGTGACTGAGGGACTACCGACTACACGGGACTGCCGACTGTACGGGACTGGTGGCTGTACGGGACTGGTGACTGTACGGGGCAGGACTTACTGTACGGGACTGGTGGCTGTACGGGGCAGGACTTACTGTACGGGACTGGTGACTGTACGGGGCAGGACTGACTGTACGGGGCTGTACTGACAGTGTGGTTTGTACTGACTGCACCTTTACTTTCTGAACTGACTTGTTGTACCGAAAGTTCTGAAGTGAGACAGAGTTGTGAACCTTCCTTCAGACTCAGTATCCTCAGTTCAAACACATTCCTTTACAGTATTACTCTCCTCACGACTGTGTAGTATTGCTAAAGTTATGCACTGTCCTTAATATTACGACTGTGTAGTGTTGCTAAGGTTATGCACTGTCCTTAATATTACGACTGTGTAGTGTTGCTAAAGTTATGTACTGTCCTTAATATTACGACTGTGTAGTGTTGCTAAAGTTATGTACTGTCCTTAATATTACGACTGTGTAGTATTGCTAAAGTTATGCACTGTCCTTAATATTACGACTGTGTAGTGTTGCTAAAGTTATGTACTGTCCTTAATATTACGACTGTGTAGTGTTGCTAAAGTAATGTACTGTCCTTTAATATTACGTTGCTGTGTTATGTACTGTCCTTAATAAACGTGTGTAGTGTCCTTCCCATATATTACGACTGTGTAGTGTTGCTAAGGTTATGTACTGTCCTTAATATTACGACTGTGTAGTGTTGCTAAAGTAATGTACTGTCCTTAATATTACGTACCATCCTGTAGGATCATGTACCATCCAGTAGGTGATGTGCAGTCCTGTTGATAATGTACCACCCTGTATTATGTACCATCCTGTATGATTATGTACCGTCCAGTTGAGGATATACCATCCTGTCTCTTGATAATGTACCACCCTGTATATTTATGTACCCTCCAGTGGGTTATGTACCATTCTGTCGGTTATGTACTGATTTGTGGGTTATGAACCAACCTGTTGATAATGTACCATCTTGTTAGTAATGTACCATCCTGTAAGTTTTTGTACCGTCCAGTGGGTTATGTACCATTCTGTCGGTTAAATACCATCATGTAGGTAATGTACTATCCTGTGGAAGATGTACCTGTAGGTTATGAACCTCCTGTGAATTACGTACCATCCTGTGGATGATGTACCATCCTGTGGGTTAAGTACCATTCTCTATCTAATGTTCTACCATGTGGATGATGTACCACCCTGTGGATGATGTACCATCTTGTGGGTTATGTACCACCCCGTAGAATACGTACCTCGCTGTGGACTACGTGCCACCTGGTAGATTAGGAACGAGTGTGTGAAGCGTACTAGTACAAAAATATCAAGCCCAATCTACGGATTTTACATATATGACTGATATATGACAACATACGAGTCACAATGTTGCTAGGCAACGCGAACACATAACCTCTTGCGACAAGAATTATATTACACAATATAAAAGCGAAGTACCAGGATAACGGAAATGTTTCAGTATGCGAGTTGCATATAGCCCACCGCCCCGAGCCCAATAACAAACATAGGATGCGAACCTTTAGATCGAAGTCGACAAAAACTGGAAACAAGAAGAACTATATTAGTAATACACACGTCGCCTCGCCTAGCGCTAGGGCAACACGTTCAAACCCATAACGACAACTGAACTGTGAATACGAGTCCCCGACGATGTGAATACCCTGTGTGTAAGGTGAGAAGCATGTCAGCCTTTAGGCTCTGTATCGACTGTTCTCAACTGAAGGCTCTGCACTCAGTGTTCCGTTCTCACGCAAGGGGTTGTGTGATACCATCTACAGACAGGATCTCGGTCTTCACAAAACTCGACAGGGTTGTGTACCCGTGGTATGACCTCTGGTGGGGAGGCGGGCACCCTTGCGTGTGTGTGTGTGTGTGTGTGCGTGTGCGTGTGCGTGCGCGCGTCTATGGGCTCTTGTTCGTATTTGGGTGTGTGTTGCTCATGGTATTTGTTCGCATGCGTGTGTGTTTGTGTGATGGATGGATGGACGGATGGATGGATGGATGGATGGATGGTGATGGGTGAGTTTAGATTTGCGCCGCACTCAGCAATATTCCAGCTATATGGTGGCGATCTGTAAATAACCGAGTCTGGACCAGACAATCCAATGATCAACAGCATGAATAGTTAAATATAATGACATGTTTTGTTTATTTACACCACCACCCCCAACACCCCTCCCCATATGGTATGGACATGAAAATTGGACTTTACAAAATCAAGTTGATAAAGGTTATCAAGAAGTTAATAGACCGATGCCAACACACACTATGACAACATACACCGTTACTATCGGGCGCTTCCTTTCTCCTCTGTATCCACGCTTGAATATTCCGTGCTGGTATTGGCTTAGTATGTAATAGTGGTTCAAAGGTATGAGTTTCTGATTTGGTCGGAACGAACCACGGAATCATGGTTTAGCTGATATTTTTAT